TATAATAGGGACTAACAGATTGAGTTTTCAGTTTGTTTCGTTTGACTAATTTCTCGGTGTCTAAATGAAACAGAGACATCTAAAATTAGAAGTGAGTAATTTTCAAAGCAGAATGTCATTAGCTGTTATTCGTTATATATTTTAGAGTTACCTTATATTTGCAAATATAAATAAGAAGATCTGGTATGAGTGCCAATGAGACAACTCTCCATCCGAGACACAATGTATTAAAAGTTTACAATTATAGGTCAAAGTTCATTTTAAAATCTGTATGCAAAGGTAACCTCGAATTATTTTGGTTGTTCTTTTTAGTAGAAATAAGAAGATGTGGTATGAGTGCCAATAAGACAACTCTTTACCCAAGTCACAATGTGTAAAAAGTAAACAATTATATGTCAAAGTACGACCTTCAACACGGAGTCTTAGCTCACACTGAACAGCAAGCTATAAAGAGCCCCAAAATGACTAGTGTAAAGGTGTAATGCCACCATATCATAGTACATCACATCCGGTTGCATACGAAAAAGGATCGAAAAAAATATTCCCTTGAATTTGACAGTTATAGGAAATTAATTCTACATTTCATTGCAGTAAAAAAATTCTGAGTCATAAACCTATATCTTGGGTGTTTCAAAGCACCATTATTTTTTTATTTGGTGTTTCTATAGAATATTTTGTAAACTTGAGGTTACATGGTTACTTAAGCTTGTAGACAGGAAAAAAGGGGTGAAAATTTGATTGGTTTACTTCCAGTGATGGTTTTTTTCTATTATATGCAATGAAATGTTAGATGAAATTTTGTCTATAGTACTGGACAGGATAAGAAGTTTACTCATGCCAAGTATTTCTTTATTTGAAACAAAGATAAATTCTGCACAACATTTTGAAAAGTTCAAAATTAACAAAGACTAATAGAGAAAAATCAATGGTTGTATTACACCTAAAACAATTCAAACAGGAAGACCAACGGTCTAATCTGTGTAAAAAACGAAAAACACTTATGAACCACACAAACAAACGACCGAACAACAGGTTCCTGACTTAGGACATGTGCAAACAATAGCAACGAGTTTAAACGTTTTAACAGGCGCCAACCTTCACCCTAACCTGGATCAGTATTGTAACATTACAACATAGGAAGACACACTATTGAATATCAATTGAAATGGCTTAACTCAATCAAAATGACATATTAACAAAAACAAGTAAACTACACTGAACGAATAAATTTGATCTATGACACAATATGAATACAATATTAATAAAAAAAAGGGGGGAGATGTAATACAATGAAAAAAGACAACTATAACCTTTGACAAAATGGCATTAAATAGAATAACGTACACATGTAAATTTAAATATTATAATTTTGTTTTGTGTTGGTATCCCTTTACCAATATTTGCTGTTTGGCTTTATTGTTCCAAAATATTTCTGACGAAGGCTATTCCGAATTAACACTATCTACATTTAATTGGGCACACACCCATAGTCATACTTTGTGAATTATTTGGCGTAAAATCCGAATATAAATATACTTTATAACGATTTTATTCTTTGTTTAATTTGGTTTTCTACTTACTTTTTTAATTTCTGATGTACGTGTTAGAATAGTATAGATAAACTTGTGAGTTTTGATCAATTCAGTTGGCATACATGTTAAATCAATGTCCCTTTAATTGTCTACCAATTGATGCTTTTATTTCTAGTCATAATATTTAAGAAGAAAGCATTGCGTTAAGAAGGTTAGAATGAAGTCCCCATCTGCACACCAATGAAACAATGTTTTAATAGATATTAGGAAAACGATATATCTACACGACTAAACTAACTATCTTTAATTATAATCTGATGGATAGAAATACAATTTCATTACATAAGGAATTTTCTGCAAAATAATATAAAACCGCAGTTTTGTATAAAAAGTAGAAAATGATGGTTGTCAACTTTACATACTGAATATCAAATTAAAGCAGCTTAACCAAGACTTTATCAACGTTTATCACTTCACATTACATACTTAAGATTCACAACATCTCGGTCTTGCAATATATATTTTTTCTCTAACAAAATGATCACAGGGGTTCATATATTAACCTCGAAGTATCAGTTTAAAGAATTTAGATTTTAGTTGTCTAAAGCAATAAATGAATATTTACATTTATTAACCATTTTGTAAGCGTAAGTTTGGGAGTTACGGATAACTACAATAATTTACAGCTGTTCGATTTCATGCGTACTTCATGCTTCCAATTCAAGTTTGCTTCTTTGTTAGCTGAACCAAGCATTTTTTACTGGCTATTCTTAATTTGCAAAACAGGCTGGTTAAGAACGTTTTTAGTCATTCTGTGAAAGATGAATATTATATGACTTAAATGGCTATTACTAACTAATGTTACTTGTTTGAATGAGAGTATTAAGAGGATACATTGATTTGTATGGCTTACATAGTACACAAGAAAACAAACTTTATTGTTCTTTTTTATATGCAAACTCAAGTATATTTCATATAACATATTATGCATCATCAATTATAACAATATTTATCGTTGATTCAGAAAACTACTAATACTAGAGGTCGTGTATTTGGACAAATACTTTAAAATTGGCATTGTGCATTTCTCTTTCAAGCACGGGATTTATATTGGAAGTAAGCACAAAGACAGGCAGAATACATGTATGAGTCAGGTTAAAACGGATAAATATCCAAAAAAAATTTGAAATCATTTAAAAAAAAAAATTTATCTGTAATACGTATCACATGAATATTATCAATATGGTTTGTGGGAAATGCTTCATTTGGGCTCTATTACCTAGTTGTCTCATTGGAAATCATACCATATCCCCTAAGGCTTATTCTACAAAGAACAGGGATTATATTAGTTAACAGGAACCAACGACTACATCGCAAACTCTGTGTAACGTCTAACGACGTTGCTTTCAGAATAGATACACTATATTCCCAAATTTTTGATGACTTTGAAATTTCTCCTCTTTTAGGTTTGGTGACCAACGTTTTAATTATTTTATTTTGTTTAATAAAAATATATTATGTTGAATAATTGAAAAAAAATCTTGGTTAATTATTTGTATCTCGGCTTTAATTAATCAACAGTTTTCCATCGTTTACAATTTTCAGTTTCAGACAATGTTGCAAAATAAATGATTAAAACATATGCATTAATACATTAATAGTCACTTAAGTGTCATTTAAAGCAAATTTTGCGGGTTTCGCAAAATTTTTTTTACTTTGAAAACAATTATCGCTTAGGTGCTAGTAAGCAATAAGATTGATCGCAATGTCCACTATGTTTATGACAGTCAAACCATTAACAGTGAACTATGTAGAACGTTTCCGTAATCAAGCCATAAGAATGGTAACGAATCTTGTTTTTTCTGCGGTACAACTTCTTCTGTGACATCTACCCTGATACACAGTGATCGTAAATCGACCGTAGGATAGATTGGTTTCATAGCAGCAAGTTTTTTGAGATAGTTAACAGTTACTGTGGATATTCTGTGTCACGATAACATTATTATTGGTTTTGTGGTTATCGCGTAGTGTATATCTGTAACTTCTTATCGTACATATCGTACATATACATATGTTCCGGACCATATGAGCATATACTCGTTTGATCGTTAACGGGTTTGACTATGTCAGTAGTTAGATCATATATTAACCCCCTCCCATCATTATCATCACAATGTTCAGGGCACAATAGAATGCATGCTGGTTTTATCATTCTATTGAAATACCACATACAACCGTTGAAATTATGTCTGAAAAAAAGAAAAAGTAATACTTTGAAAATTGAACCCGTCTCTTTCCTTGCTTGGAACATTTGTCGTTTTAAATGAAATTATATGAAAAATCTTAGGCACTGTTTTGCTTGTTTAACTGTACCACATTTTGATGCGTTTCGTTTTTTTTTAAACATGCTCAATATCTTTAATTGAACTTTTAAGTGCCAGTCTGCCTAAGAATCAGACAGTGGTGAAAACATGACAAATAAAAAAAGCCACTGAAGTTTACATTGATTTCAGTTCATAATAGGTAGTAATGCACGAGAATAACTTTCTTTCCCGTTTCCTGTTCTGGTAATAGAAGATACAATTTGGTTGAAATGCACTATAAATTAACATTTAAGGGGAGATAACTCTGTAATTTTCTTTTATTCTAACCAAAAAACTTATCTTTAGTTATTTTGAATTACCAGACATACAGAAACGAAAGACATACTATATCTAGCTCAGGATGATGGTTTCTTCAAAATATTAATGCTGGCGGTTTTTTTTTCTGACCATGTTTTGATTTGTATTTGAATTGCCTGATCCTTACAAAGACTTAACACCATCCAATTGGAGTCCATTACTGGCTAATTAAAAGTAGCTTAAAACTTGATGATCCACTATAGCCTTGATTTTATTCCAAGAATTCATTTCAATAATTGCAAGATTTGATGATTTCGAATGAACCACGAACGAGTTCTTTAATTCAAATGGTAGTAAATAATGTTTTGAGTTTTAGCTTTTTAGATTTTTGATACTATCGATCCCGAAAGTTTGAATTATGGAATATGACATCGCTTTTGTAGTTATCTACTATATTTTGCGAAATCGTGTTTAGTCAAACTGTTCACCAAATGTTGAAATCTTTTTTAAATTGCCAACATTTTCCTTTTAGTAAATCTGCTATATATTAAGTCAGCCAGAAACCCTTTGGAAGAACCCCGTTTAAATGAAAAACTAAAAAGAACAATACGTATTATTTGTTGTGTAATATAATATTACCATGTATTAATATGAAACATTGTATTAACTTGTGTACACCTGTAACTAATATAAAGGTGAGCAGGAAGGATAAAATTCAATATTTAAAATGGCGACACCCACAAAGGACATGAATCATTTTGACGATTTATTAACGTGTAGAATTTGTTTGGAAACTTTTAAAGCTCCGAAATACTTGCCATGTCTCCATACTTTCTGCGAATAATGTATTAAAACTTACATTGTATCATCTACGCAAAAGGAAAAGGAGTCTGAGGGATTCAAATGTCCGGTATGTCGTAAAGTTGTTTCATACGGCAAAACACCTGGAAAACAAGAAGCATGGGCATGTACTCTACCGACGAACCATTTTGTGATGTCGATGTTGGATAAGCGAGCAATTCAAAGGTCCGAAAAATTGTGTAACTCATGTCAAATAAACAATGACACAAAAACGGCAATTTCTTGGTGTACTATTTGTGAAGAGGCATTTTGTGAACAGTGTGATAAATGTCACAAATCTTTCAAATTTTCAGCAAAACACAAAATTATTTTAATCAATGAAATTCAGTCAGGAAATTCCAATTTAAAAATATCGGAAGTGCTGAATTGCGAAGAGCATTCTGCAAAGATTGTGGAGGTTTACTGCGTGGACCATTCACAACCATGCTGCACCTTATGTGCAAAACTTTCACATCGCAAATGTGAAAACGTGACCTCAATCGAAAATGCCGCCAAAGGTATAAAGCAATCCAAACTTACAACTTCTTTGGTTAAAAAACTTGACGAAAGGAATAAGGAACTTAATGAAATAATTGAGAATCGGAAAGATAGTATGACTTTTTTTGAAAACACTTCTGGAAACATTATTCAAGAAGTGGCCACACTAAAAAGGGTAGTTATAGATCATTTAGACAAACTAGAAGAGAACATAAAGGTCGAAGTGAACTCGTCAAAGAAGCGTGTGGTTATGAAATTTACCGATGAAATTAACACTTTTTCGAGTTATAAATGTACCTCGGCTAACTGGCAGTCAGTTCTCAATCGATCTATAGAACAAGGATCAGACCAACAGTGTTTAATGGAAGTCAACAAAGTTGGTCCAAAAATTACTATACTTGAGAAGGAAATGGAAGAAGATATAAAAAAAGATGAAGAAAATGACTATTAAGTTTGTCCCATCTGAACTAATTGAGAAATTTAAAAGCATCGTAGAGTCGTTGGGTTCCGTAGATATAATAGAAGACAAGTTTCCATGTACACTATCCATTGGGGGTAATAGAGAAAAGGTAAATTTTCGTAGCGGCGACATTAAAGTTTTGCATAGAATTAATGCTACTGAAAGTGGTTTAATGAGTGCAATATTCATTGCTGATAACCTAGTAATAACGAGCTATTACAAAAGTAATGTTGCAAAATACAGCCTCGACGGAAAATTTCTGCAAGCTTTAGCTGTAGAAAAGTATCCACTGGATATAACACAAGTTGACGGAACTCAAGTCGCTATTTCTACGTATAGAAGTAACAAAATTTTGTTTGTTGACATTGCGGAAATGAAGTTAATACGAAAATTGGATTTTTCGGATTTACCCGTATATGGATTATGCTATGCCGAAGGAAACTCATTTATTATATCTGATGGATCCACACTGACATGGGTAAACTCAAAAGGGAAGATAGTAAAACAGAAAACAACACGTGGCGATTCGTTTTATGTTTCAACATCAGATATAAAAGATCATATATATGGAGATGGAGATAATTCCGTATCACGTGTAGTAGGGCAAACAACCAAGTTTACGTATACAAATGAACAGTTGTCCTCCCCACGGGGAATCGGAATAGACTTTGAGAGCAATATCTATATTGCTGCATGGAGCTCTAAGAACATTCATCAAATAACGGATAATGGGAAATTAATACGAACACTTCCGATTGAAACTTTTGGAATTCGAAGACCATGGACGATACGTTTTGCTCCTAATAGTAATAAATTTGTCGTGACATGTAGTTCTTCGGGAAAAGTTGTACTGTGTGAAATTAGTTGAAGCAGTGTTCGATATAGAACGAATAGGAAAACAGTTCTATGTACCCTAATCAACTTCAATTATCGTTAACTACGTAGACTAGCTTCTCCTTGTTTTCGTTGCTTTTTTCGTTGTCTGTTTTTTTTAGTGCTCTAATCAAATCTGCATTAGTAATCGTTCGACTTATGAACGATCATTTGAATAATTTAGAAATTCGTATTTGTTGTTGGAATTCCACACTTTAGTTTGTTTTATTTTACTTCGAAATTGCTATTGGGAGATTTATTAAAGGTGGAAGATGTTTTTTGAAAAAAACAGTTAGGGTGAAATAAATTAAGAGGATGTTAACCATACCTCTTTTTTAAGGTCTTAGGCTACATAAGATGCTTTTTCTGTTTTTTTGTTAATCTTTCAAGCTTTTAAGTGTTTATTTTGCTCTTCAATTTTTGATACAATCTTATACTTACTTTATTTTTAGCACCACTGATGAAAAATAAAGTTCCAACCTTGTTCTGACTCATATCGCCGTACTTATTAATTATATGTGCTTAGTGGCGAAGCAGCAAATACCAATTTCTAGTCTTTGGTTTGACGGGAATCTACTTCTTGAAATCCGGCATTCAAGGCAAGAATGCTACAACAATCAACACTACTTATACTTTATTACAGACAAAAAATAATTCGCTCTTACCTTGATAGTTTTGCTAACAAAGCAAATTTATCCCTAAATTGCATAAAGAAGTATGCAATTCTGAAAAATATAGCTTCAGATGGCTTTGCTTACATCAATAAACGTAAGGTAAAACATACTGTAATTCAGAGAAGATCATGAAAACTTTCATATCGAATGAAAGTTGCATGGTGGTCATGTTTTGTATCCTTAATTAAGCTAATGAAAAATAGTTGTAGAGGGTTTTCCATGTTTCATTCATTCTATAAGGTTTAACAACAGTAGGTTATGTAGTTTTAGGGAAGATGCAAATGTGATTTTTCTTAGGAATAATTGAAAGTATTTCTTTATTTCAAACTTAAATCTGAGATAAAAATAGATGAATACTTGTTTAAAGAAACCAGGAGTTCGTATCTAAATTTCGGATAGGTTACCATACCCTAGAATTGGAAATTAGGAGATATAATAATATACCTAGAGACGATAGTAAATGTTTAGAAAGGAGAAGCTGCATCTGTGGTTTCATTAGTGTCTAGTTCAGGGGAATATATTTATCATGTAAATGGGACCATATCTGAAAATGTTTGATTGTTAACGGAAAGAACATAAACAATACACCTGTAAGTGAAAGATCTAATTCTTTGATCTTCTTGTTTTACACGTGACTGTAGGAACTCTGACTCATTCGAAAATAAGAAATGGTCGGCCAGGAGGGTGCACAGTTGGTTCTCATAGGAATTCCGACAACTTACTGGAAAATTATACCTCCGAATTCAACAAATACGTTCTCCAGAAAATCTCCAGCATACTGATCACATGTTCTTCAGTGTAGCATGTCTTATTTTTGGGTTAACATTTCTCTGAAAGTCATAGAAAATATTTTCAGATACTTACATGTACCAACATGTTAGTGGATAAAAATGTTTTCTACTAAAGGTAGATTCAATCTATACCGCCATCTTGGATTGTACAATAGCAGTCTAGTTCTTTGCCTAAATCTTCAAATTCTGAGACAGAATTGAAATTAATGCGTAAGACTGCTTATTTGTATAAAGACAAATAGGTGATTCATTGCATTATCCAAAATGTTTAAACAAAACCAAATATTTATGATTTTAGAATCAATTTTTCAACTTGGCTATTTAAGGGGAGATAACTCTGATAGTAAATATATACTAGAATGATAGTTAATAAAAATTACCAAGTGTGCCTACTTGGGAACTTTAATGCCCATACAGGGATTCATGATGACTTTATTATTGTATATGATACAATCCTAGACAGCCTGCTGATTGACCAGAATTCCAGAAAATATATGAACAGTATTAATGCTCTGTATGAATTAGGTATCCCAATTAAGCGTTCTTCGAAGGACATTTCAAATATAAATAATTAGGGACATCAATTATTGGAATTTTGTAAAAATTTAGATCTGTATATTGTTAATAGTAGAATTAGTAATGATCAATTTGTAGGGCTGTTACAACAAGTAAAAACACACTTATTGATTATGCAATTGTGTCACCTATGTTATTTAAATGTATTTCATACTTCAATATTGCAAATTTTGATCCAATTTTGAGTGATATTCATTGTCCAGTTATCATAAATGTTGATACTTCTGTAATACTTGAACCTGTTGATAGTCAGTCTAATGATGCCAATGTTTCACATGATGATAATAGCCATGTTGTATACAAATCAAAATGGAAGAATAATAATGCAAATGTATTTTTTGAAAATTTGAATGATGAAATTATTCATGATTTAGTTGAAAAACTTGAAAATCTAGATGTTAATAATATTAATGTTGAAACTGTCAACAATGTAGTATTGAATTGTAATTCAATTATTAAAAATGCTGCTGATAAAGCTGACATGATTGTAGAATTCAAACCCAAGAATAAACCTGGTGTTGGGTAAAAAAATGTAAACCTTATTTTAATCAAGATTGTTATTTAAAACGTAAAGCATATCGTAAATGTAAAAATCTTCACTGGAGATTACAAAGGGCTGAAACAAAAGAAAATAATATTGCTAGTAGTAGAGAGTATAAACGTACGCTAAACAAGCAGTTTAGAGAATATCAGAAGTCTGTTATAGACAAATTGAAAAACTTGCATAAATCTGATTCGAAAGCGTAAACGTACTGGTCTCTTTTGAACAAAAGTGATACAAAGGGCAACAAAGCTGTAAATAAGATTGCTATGGATGTATTTTATGATCATTTTAATAATCTTAATGCTCTTGATGAGCAGGATGATAACGATATTGTATTACCTAATAATATTACTGATTATAATATTGAATTAAATCAATATATTACTGAAGACGAAGTATTATATGCTGTCAAATCATTGAAAAATAATAAAGCATGTGGTGGTGATCTTATATTGAATGAATTTTTGAAATATGCTACAGTAAAGTTAATGCCTGTTTTGTAAGAATATTTAATATTGTATTTCACAGTTGTATTATACCTGATAGTTGGTCAGAAGGTTATATATGTCCAATATTTAAGAATAAAGGTAATCCAAATGATGTGGATAATTATCGTGGTATTACTATTTTAAAGGGGCACTAGCTACGAGATATAAAAAAATTATAAAACATGATTTTTTTTGTTCAATCATTAATGAAAGTGAAATAGTGAAATAATAATTCGCTTTTAGCAGCTAGTATTGTCTAATTTTGTCAAAATAAACAAAGAAATATTGATGATGAATTATTCACTTGCAAGTGAATAATTCGACCTCATTGAATCCGTTTTCATGTGAACTTCAATTTAACCCCTAAGCTAGAGATGGAAAACGCATGAATTGTGTGCATGTTTGATTATTTAAAGGAAATGAAAGTCAACATTGAAAGTGAAACAAAGGTTTATCATTTAATTGACTGATTCGATCCTCAAAAAAATCATTCTTATACAGGTAAAAATGATGATTAACATATATTTTTAATCTATAAATGAAATTCAATAGACTTAGAAGAATCCATTTGCACGAGTTGCGCTATCTATTTATATCTTTATTTATGTTTATATACCTTATATGGGCATCGGTGGTTTTCGGGAGTTCAACTCGACAGTTAATTAGATGGCGTCTAGATTAAATACACACAAAACGAAGCTACATTTCTTCTGTAATTTTAGCCGAATCGGCAAAAGAGTTACAAGCCTCATTAAATGCCATGTACTTATATTGTCAAACCTGGAAAATGCAAGTAAATATATCTAAGACAAAAGTTGTAATATATTCAAGATCTAGACTTAACACAGATAATATGAAATATAGTGGTGAAAGCCTAAACATTGTTACAAATTTTCAATACCTTGGTATTATATTTTCATGTAAGGATAATTTTAATGACGCCAAATATAAAAAAGAAGATGTGGTATGATTGCCAATGAGACAACTCTCCACAAGAGACCAAATGACACAGAAATTAACAACTATAGGTCACAGTAAAGCCTTCAACAATGAGCAAAGCCCATACCGCACAGTAAAGCTATAAAAGGCCCCGAAATGACAATGTAAAACAATTCAAACGAGAAAACTAACGGCCTAATTTATGTACAATAAATGAACGAAAAACACATTAGCAAACGACAACAACCACTGAATTACAGGCTCCTGACTTTGGACAGGCACATACATACAGAATTGGGGTGGGGGGGGGGGGGGGGGGGGGGGGGGGGGTTAAACATGTTTTACAGCAAGCAAGAAAAGCCATGTTTACAGTCTTAAGAAAGGCTAGGAAGTTGAATTTACCAATTGATATGCAATTAGAGCTATTTGATACAATGGTTGTACCTAATTTGTTATATGGTGCAGAAGTACGGGATTTTGAAAATTGTAATATTACAGAAAATTTGCATATGCAGTTTTGTAAAACAATTTTGAAGGTTAAAAAAAGTACTGCTCATTGTATGATTTATGGTCTGGCAACGTATCATGTGTGGTAAAAGAGAAAAGAGAAAAAATTTCATATACACTGTATTCTATATTGTTTCTACATTTTTAGTCTTATATCTCGAATTTGACATACACAGTCATCTCAGTACCAGAATCTATGACAAACGAGACGATTTTAATTTTAAAATTATAAATTTCCTCCACCTTAGTAGCAATATACATACTTCACCTGCATATGGGATATACATTTGCCAACTTATTCGATATTCAAGAGCTTGCAGCTCCTACTCAGACTTTGTAAAACGTCACCAGAATCTGAGCAGAAAGTTGATGAACCAGGGGTATGTCAAAGAACGTCTCGTCCTTTTTCTAAAAAAGTTCATCGGAAGGTACCAAGACCTAGTTGATAAATATTCCGTATCAACTTCACAAATAGTACATGATGGTCTTTATGTATAGATTATGTGTACTGACGTTGTTTATCATCTTAACAACGTGATATATTGTTCTTTGATTTGTCTTTGTTCAATTATTAATATTACTTTTATTGTTTGGTCTGTTTTCTGCGATATCCATTTGACGTGGCTCGGTACTTATACATCCCGTCAATGTGTTTGTTTTATCTTTCATTTTTGCTGGTGTGTATGTGCGACTTTTTGTGTTTCTTTGATTCATATGACGTGACTCTGTACTTTTAAAGATCCCGTCATTATGTTATTGTTCTATTATATGTCATTTTGTTATTGTTCTATTATAAATTTGAAAATACTTTGAACGACAAACGACAAAATTATGTTACTCGCGTAGTGGTATTAACCATATGTGGATTCTTAAAAATTCTAAAGAACTTCTGGATAATTTTAAATCTCTGTCTGTTTTTGAAATTAGTTCTAACACAACTTTTGATTTTTTAACCCGGTATACCACCATTCACCATGTGAAATTATAATTTTTTTTGAAAATACTTTGAACGAAAAAATTTCTTCCTATGTGACGTTTACATTTTCTGACGTCAGACACGCGAAGCAATGAATGTGGTTTTTAAATCTTATAGATACTTAACGATGTTGTTGTCCATTCGTTTAATGTGTTTTATCATTTGATTTTGCCGTTTGATTAGGGACTTTTCGTTTTGAAATTTTACCCGGAGTTCAGTAATTTTGTGATTTTACTTTTCTGTGCTTTTTTGATAAATATTTGTTTGTTTTGAGATTGTGACACAGTTATGACTGCTGTACCCATATTGTGACTATTTTACCTATTATGTCTGTTTTGTTCACGCATCGTTGTAAATATAACGGAATATGATGCGACTGTCATACAAGTGAGAGGTTTAGCGCTATAAAACCAGGTTCAATACACCATTTTCTACATAAGAAAATGCCTGTACCAAGTCAGGAATATGACAGTTGTTATCCATTCGTTTGATGTGTTTGAGCTTTTGTTTTTGCCATTTGATGATGACTTATATCTAGAAATTGACTATGAGGGTCGGTTGATAGAAGAGATGATTCCAGCTTCCCAAATGTGACCTTTTCATTTTTTTAACCAAGAGTTCCAAATGGTGAAGTTGAAATCATAACTTCGTAAATTTTACAGATGCCATCATGAGTTGGTTGACCGTTATGGAATATCCGTTACACATATGATATCGGATATGTTCTTTATGTCGTAACTACAATCCCGTTCCCTTTTCGCGAATGTGACCTACCGAAAGAGACTATTTACCGGCTTTGTAATAACATGAGCAACACGACAGGTGCTACATGTGGAGTAGGATCTGCTTACCCTTCCGGAGCACCTGAAATCACCCCAAGTTTTTGATGGGGTTCGTGTTGTTCTTGTACCCCTATTTGTGACATTTTGTTCACGCATCATTGTCAATATAATGGAATTTGATGCGACTGTCGTACAAGTGAGAGGTTTAGCGCTATAAAACCAGGTTCAATCCACCATTTTCTACATTTGAAAATGCCTGTACCAAGTCAGGAATTTGACAGTTGTTGTCCATTCGTTTGATGTGTTTTATCATTTGATTTTGCCATTTGATTAGGGACTTTCCGTTTTGAATTTTCCTCGGAGTTCAGTATTTTTGTGATTTTACTTTTTTGTATCAGCTTAGTAAAAGGGGTTTTTACCACTCTAAATGGTTGTTAGAAATTAAAAATACTTTATATGAATGTGGATTTAATTTGATGTGGGATGATCAAATAATTGCTAAATCTGATAATATTAGTACGAATGTTAAGAAATGTTTGAGTGATAAATTTATGATGAACTGGAGTAATAATGTTATGAATTCTGCAAAATGTCTTAATTACAGAATATACAAATCTGATTTTTGTTTTGAGAAATATTTATCGGTGTTACCATCTGATCTAAGAATGTATTTATGTAAATTCCGTTGCCTTAGAAATAAATTGCCCATTGAAACTGGCAGATTTTTAAATATTGATAGAACTGAAAGACATTGTAATGTCTGTAATGCTAATGAGCTTGGTGATGAGTTTCATTACTTATTCAAATGTACCTTTTTCAACAATGCAAGAGCTAAATTTTTACCTTTAAATATATGTAATAAACCAAATATTTTGAAATTTAAAGAACTGATGAATACATCAGATTTATTTACGCTTACTGGAATAGCAAAATTTTGCAAAAGTGTTATTAAAACCTTTTAATACATGTGCTTAATCATGTTACTATAATTTGTACTTCCTGTCACATATCAGTATTAATTTATATACTATTTTTGCACCTTTTATTACCATGTTGTTCTAATGTAAATATGTTCACACTTTTATTGTTTGTTAAAAAATGTTGTACTAACATACCCCATGTGGGGGCTTTAGTGAAATAAAATGTCTTATGTCTTATGTCTTATGATAGTGAAATTTTCATGTTTTACTTGTAGCAAGAAAACAAGTTCAATGACATCTTTCTTTTATTTTCTTAAAGCATATCATAAAACTTATCTTCTCATATTTTATTTGAAAAATCTATTTTCCCCAAGAGTGACCAGGGAATAGAAATATCGCTATTTTCTGTCTTCTTAGAAAGGGCCACGTTCTCTACACGTCAACAATTCTTTGGGGGTGGGGGTTGGGGGGGGGGGGGGGGGGGGGGGGTGAGGGAAGGGGGTCTTCAGGTGGCATGTTGTACGGCAAAATATCTTTTCCTATCTCATTTCCCAATGGTAGTCCAAATTTTCCTGACCTTCATCCCTGACGGCTTCTATTTTAGGACATACCTATTATATTTGTTGTCAATTTGTTCTCGTCCTGAACGTGCATAAAATATTTGCAACTTAGATCATCCCTTGTTTGTGGTGGGGTCTGTGTTGCTCAGTCTTATGCTTTCTTTGTTGTGTTTTGTATAGTATTGTATGTTTTTTTGGTCTTTTCTCTTTTGCCATGACATTGTCAGTTTATTTTCGACTTATGAGTTTGAATGTCCCTTTGTTATCTTTCGGAGCTCTTTTACCACTGGAAGTTAAGCAACCAACACTCAATCAATCATTCCCGCTAAATTCTTCAATCTATACACTGATCTGATATATATGTTTTGGGCAAAGGAATATAAATATTCTTTTAGTTTACAGGGCATTCCACAGT